TACAAAAATTTAAGAGCTATATTCAGCACTGTTTCAATTTACTTTACGTTTTTCCAAAAATTTTTCGAAAAAAAATTAACTTTTATTTTTGTCACTGCTGAAATAAAAGTTTACCAGTATGGAGAACTTATCCAATTTTTTTAAACATTTAAATATGAGTTTCAATACTATCGAAAACTATTAAAAAAATACAGCTATTGAAGAATCCGTAATTACTAAGCATAATTTTGACATAACATGCCAAACGTGAGACAATCATTGTTACCTTGTCATTCCCATTGTACCGTAGAATGGGCGATTAATTATCAAAAGGAAGTCAGCAACTACGACAATGAATGAAGTACAAAAGGGAAAAGTAAACTGTAACTCTAATAATGGGTGACATCCAACAATGGGTCTCTAATGGAGAATAAGATCCAACAAAGTAATTTACAATTTCGGTTGATGCGTCATGTAAAATTGAGTCGAATAGTCACCATTTTAAAGTTGAACAAGATCGCTCAAACAACGGAAAACTCAAATGTTTTCCACTTTCGTCTTAAACTTCAGGCGTGGTCAAAAAGTAAACGGCCAGATCTCCATTTTTTCTAATTATTTTTTCAGTGATTATTTGGAGGTGGTTACATGCGTTCTGGTGTGACGGAGATTTTAGAAAAACATTTCCTTTATCGTGCCAACGTTTCGATCTTTATTTAGACCATCATCAGGGCCTGGGAATCATCATTCATACCTATATAAAATAATGAAAAAATATGTGTGGTGTTTAGTGACCGTTTATGGTTATTTGGAGATCGTGAGATGCGGTCTAGTGTGACGTAGGTTTTAGAAAAACATTTTCTTTATGGTGCCAACGTGTAGATCTTTATTGAGATCATCTTCACTTTCTGGGATTTAGAAACATTGTTTAAATTTTACAAATACATGTAGGATGTGAAAAAAAATTCCATTTCTTACAAGAAACCAGATTTTCCTATAGCTAAATTAATTACTGATGTAAACTATGCACTTCAAAAGTCCACAAATAACAGAAGAAGAAAAAGACATAGAATGCATTAAAACAATCACAAATCCATTACAACACCTTACTACAAATCAACACAATATATCTCCACAAACATACACCAAAACCAAAAAATTTCTCAAAAATAATCCTGACATACTCTCTATTTCTGCTGATAAAACAAAACAAACAGTAGCAATCAGAAAAAAAGAGTTCAAGGAAAAAATTAAAAAAATTATCAATACAAACACATACAGCACAATCAAATCAGACCCTACCTCTTTTTTTATCAAATAGACAAACAAAATTCTTTAAGAAACACTTAAACAAAAAGAAATTGACAGTTACACCTACAAATCACTTCAAAACAACTCTCCAACGCCCCCGAAACTATACCGATCTATAAAAACATGTGTGGTGGTTAGTGAACGTTAATCGATAATTGTTCAGAAATCGTGAGATGCGGTCTGGTGTGATGTAGGTTTCAGAAAAAATATTTTCTTTATCGTGCCAACGTTTCGATCTTTATTGAGATCATCTTCAGGGCTCAAAGTGTTTGTCTTCTGTGTAATTGTGCCATTCTTGCGTGTTGTGTTGAGAGTGCCCAACACTTTGAGCTCTGAAGATGATCTCAATAAAGATCGAAACGTTGGCACGATAAAGAAAATGTTTTTCTGAAACCTACATTACACCAGACCGCATCTCACGACTTCTATAAAAACACATAAACCTGAATACCATCTAAGTCCAATAATTCATTTGTAAATTAAAAGATGATCTCGATAAACATCGAAACGTTGGCACGATAAAGAAAATAGAAATGGTGAATGATGGAGTGAGTACGGTGTTCAATCCTTTAAAAAAAAAAGACAATTGTAAATCCCAGGCCCTGACGATGATCTCAATAAAGATCGAAACGTTTCTAAAACATACGTCACACCAGACCGCATCTCATAATATCAAAATAATCATAAATGTTCACTAAACACCACACATATTTTTTCATTATTTCATAAAGGTAGGAATGATGATTCCCAGGCCCCTGATGATGGTCTAAATAAAGATCGAAACGTTGGCTCGATAAAGAAAATGTTTTTCTAAAACCTACGTCACACCAGACCGCCGCATCTCATGATATCAAAATAATCATAAATTAACGGTCACTAAATACGTCCACTGGTATGGCGCCAAAAAGTCGTATTATTACGTATTAAATTTGCATGAAAAGCGATATTAATAAGATATGTAATCCATTGTTGTGCATGTTGCATATTAGATATATTTGTGTATCTCCAGTAGTTTGACAATGTTTGTATACACTTGCTTTCAGACAATAGTGCCCAGTTGTTGAACGTGTTTGTTTTAAATTATTCAACAATTTCTTTCGTGCATTCCAAAGCGCATCATAATACAGCGTAAACAACTTTGATTTTGATTCAACTTTGGAATTTCCACGAAAAAGCATCCAAATCTCTAGCGTCTTTAAACAGAAGACGTTCCAAGGCGCAAAGCGAGAATTCGCAAGGGAAGCGGACGGACAAATTATAGTATAAGAACACTCCCTCTAATTCGAGATCAAAGTTGGCAAAGGTAGGTAGGAGTGGAACACGTAAAAGTTCAAAGAGAGAAGAGTGTACAGAGGAAGGGAATACACGGGGTAAATCAATCATGGTTTGTCGCGGCGTCAAAGGCTCCCTCTCAGCAGCACCACTCAGCATTTTTTTCTCTCTCTTCTACGCCTGCAATTGCAAATAAACCCGAATGTTCCTGTTTTATCTTCTATCGTGTCCCGGAGGATCAATTCGTTAAACGCACAAAAAATTTATTGGATTGAAACGAACGATACATCAATATTTCTGTGGTTTACTCGAATCACGAAAAAAGCTTTCATAAGCCTCTGGCATCGTTCCCTACTCTCGAAAAAATTGACGTTAACATGCAAAATTATACCACGAGATGGCCGGACCCGAATTTCGTTCATCGTACTTTCTCTAAAAGCTGAATTAATGTTTTAACGCCACTCCAGTGACACATGACACGTTCAGACACGTAAAATCCCACTGCTTTTCAACACATTGAATTTTAAAAAATATAAAATAGTCGAAAGAAAATTGAAAAAAAAAAAACGCAAGAAGATCATTTTTTACGTTAAAATGTGTAATAAAAAGCGTGGTTCTCTTTTTATACCCAGGTACACCATAAATTTCGGAAATGATTTTTTTATTGATTAAGTGAATACTTTTAGGTAAGCAATAAATCAATACGCCAGCTATATCAACGAATGATCAAAATATCAAATAGTTTGGTGAAGTCGTGACTAGCGGTCAAGAATGAGGTAGTTCAGAAAAATTCCTTCTTTTTTGCCGATGTTTCGACCTTTATTCCGGTCATCTTCAGGGCTATTCTTGTGGTGTTACCCAAACACCAAAAATAAATATGACACTCCAAGAATAGCACCACATTTTATGCCCTGAAGATGACCGGAAAAAGGTCGAAATGTCGGCAAAAAAAATTAAAAAAAGGTGTTCTAAGCTACTTTATTCTCGACCGTTCTTCACGACTTCAACTAATTTTGAAACAACCGGTCACTAGGGAACACACATATCAAATAGTATTAAGAATTCTTTGAAAAAAATCTTCTTGATCCCAATGCATACAAATAACTATAAATGATAATTATTCAGAAATCGTGAGATGCGGTCTGGTGTGATGTAGGTTTCAGAAAAACATTTTCTTTATCGTGCCAACGTTTCGATCTTTATTGAGATCATCTTCAGGGCTCAAAGTGTTTGTCTTCCGTGTAATTGAGCCATTCTTGCGTGTCGTGTTGAGAGTGCCGACGAGAGTACGACACGCAAGAATGGCACAATTACACAGAAGAGAAACACTTTGAGCCCTGAAGATGATCTCAATAAAGATCGAAACGTTGGCACGATAAAGGAAATGTTTTTCTGAAACTTACATCACACCAGACCGCATCTCACGATTTCTCAATAATATCGATTAACGGTCACTAATTACCACACATAAATACATAAATGATAATTTTTAAGGGGCGTCGGTGGCCGTAACGGTTTAGGCGCTCATCACTCTAAGGTGAAGGTCCCGGGTTCGAATCCAGCGGCCCTACATTGGAACCCGACATTTTTACAAATGTTTTTTTTTTTTTTTTCAAAAATACCGGCATCCTGAGGGTTGATATGACCTCTTCTTTTACGAACACTTGTTAAAAAGAAAAAAGTACTTACGGAAAAATCAATCAATTAATGATAATTAATAAATAACAAATTCATTAAAGAAAATACTTTAATCGGCGTTGCAAAACAAATAAAATAAAATAAATAAGTTTTATACTATATAATAATCGTCCTTTTTTTTTCTAGTTTTTCTCAAATATGTTAATTTTTTAAAATATAAATCCTGGGATAATTAAGTTCGGTTATAATGATCTGATTCTCTAAGTCCCGTCAAGATGGTTATAAACGAATTCCACTGTAGAAACAATTTTCTTATTTTTGTATTCACCATCAACCATCAGCCCGGCATAGGATTAACTCTAAGGAGACGTATTAAGCGCACCGTTTCAAAATTGTTTTGAAGGAGAATGATGTACTCAAAATAAGACACTAAGAAGAATTAGAAGAAGAGAAGGAGTTTTTCAGTTTAATATTTAATCTGTAGAAATTACTTGTCGACAGAAGTTTGAAGAAGTGGATTGTTGACTTAGTAGAAAATTAAAACTTAAGTTATAAACTTCTTGCCGGTAGGATAAGAGAGCAATGTAAACAAATTCAGAAATGGTTTCTTGGTTGGACTCGAAGGGAAAAACGATTGTTTGATCCCATTGGGCTGTCGAGGTGATTGCCTTCTTCGGGCTTCGGCAAACTGCCAACTTTAATTTTCGGCTTTCTTTATCATTTTTCATCCTTTGCGATATTTGTACGTTTTGTTTATTCGTTGATATTGTTTTTTTCTTAACTGGCGTATTTTTTTTTTTCAGAACTAGTCGATGGATTACGACTCATCGAGGTGAGGATAGACAAACACACCGTTCTGGGAAACAGCACTCTGCTGGAATGCAGATTTGACCTCCAAGGCGAAAACCTTTATTCAGTTAAATGGTACAAGGATGGGCATGAGTTCTATAGGTATGTCCCGCGGGACATTCCTCCAGCTCAGATTTTCGAACTTCCCGGCGTATACGTAAGGGTAAGTAAATTATTTGATCTTAACTGGACTACAAGAAACTATCTATATCAATTTTAAATCAACATAAGCCTGTTTTACTTAGTACTTATCTAATAAAGTGAAGCGTTATTATTAACATTATTTTTTAAACGTAACTGTTGGATAACAACCCATCCAAAAACGTTCGGGACGATGAATGATCTAATATAGAAGGTTTAAACCCGTGGATTTTTGTTCCCTGTGAAACTTTTAGAGATATAAATCAAAGCTTAATCTCCCAACAGCCTTCGTTTTAACGGCCATTTACAGAAAATCGCGACGTACTTTTAAAAGCACGTCCAGCAAACAATATCCAACGCTGCAGTATATTCATTTTTTACACGTTACAATAGAAAAATATATAAATTTTATAGTACCCTAAATCCGCCGAACTAGGTTATTGTTTGTAATAAAATAGATCAGTAAATTAAATTATGTACATAATTTAAAAAACTAAATTAAAAAAACTTGAGTGTATTAGTATCTCAAATATTTCCCTTAAACTCCTTGAATCATATTTATTGGACAGAAATCTACTCACAAAAGTTGGAACAGTTTATAGTTCTTTACGCGTTGAATCGGGAGTACCACGAGGTACAGTCTTAGGCCCAATTTTGTTTCTTTTATATATTAATGATTTTATAAAAATTAAATACTCCGTAAAAGTACTTAGTTATGCAGATGATAGTTGTACCGAATTTTTCAGCTGATAATTTAATTAATTTAACTAAAGCTAAAAATAATGATACGAAAATGATTAATTTTTGGTTAACCTCAAACTTTCTTCTTTTAAACACAAAAAAATGAAATGTATTACACTTTTCATTAAAGAAGAAAATAAACACTAATAATTAAAAATTTGTTTTTCATACTTGTGATGGTTATTGGTTCTTCTTTACGCGTTGAATCGGGAGTAGCACAAGGTACAGTCTTAGGTCCAATTTTGTTTCTTTTATATATTAATGATTTTTTGAAAATTAAATTCTCCGGAAAAATATTTAGTTATACAGATGGTACTTGTATAATTTTTTTCAGGTGATAATTTAATTAATTTAACTCAAAATAATAATATTGATATGAAAATGATTAATTTTTCGTTAAACTTAAACTGTCTACCTTTGAACACAAAAAATTGTAATGTATTCCACTTTTCATTGAAAAAGAAAATAAATACTAATAATTTAAAATTTGCTATTTATACTTTGAGATTTAATTTCCATATTGATTTTTTCATTTTCTGTCTTAAAAAGCTCTTTTATAAATTTAGAATTTTACGCAACTTGATGAAAATTGAACTTTGAAGGTTAATATATTTTTCTCTTGTACAATCCATAAGAACCTATCGAATTGTTTCCTAAGCTACACTAAGACTCTGGATGTAACTATAAACTCATTTCTTAAAATTATTTTACATAAACTGTATAGATATAATACGAAAAAATTATACAGTGAATTTAAAGTATGAATCTATACAAAATCTTTCTTAAATGTTTATGTTTGTACATATATATATATATAAATTATCTTGTAACTACTTCCGTCAATGAATATGACACAAGACACAATTCATTGGCTAGCTCATATTTTTACAATGTAAATAAAACAATAAAACTACGCAATATTTTAATTTTTTATTAGATATGGCACTTTGTTTGTTTATAAAGAGAGGATTATTATTCAAAATTTCAAAAACTACAAAGAAGGCAAAAAATTTTAAATTGTAGTTAAGATATATTAATTTGGTTGGTTTTTTCATGCTACAAGTTTATTCTGTATTATGTTTATTTATTTGTTTGTTTTTCATTTTGTAAAGGTATATTCTGTTTATTTCTTTGAAGATCTCCAAAATATTCCTGCTGTCTAGTGCAGCATGTACCAAATATTATTTTTTGTTATAAATTTATATATAATATTCAATTAATTAATCTTTAATTAAGGTTTTGTTTGGGATAAAAAAAGTCGGGATTCGAGCACACGACCTTCGGCTAAATACGCCGCTGCTCTACCACTTGAGCTATTAAAGATTAATTAATCGAAAATAATTTATTTGGTCAAGCGACCACGAAACCTAGGAGGGGGGTATATCTTATGTATACCGATTCTAATATTAATTATGTTATATAATTAATATTTGTATTTAAAAACAATACAATTACAATAAAAATATTCATATATTAATTAAATCATATGATTTAAATGCTAATTATAAATACAAATATTATAACATTTCAAGATTTATGTTTAAAACACAAATTAATTAAATTTCATAATTGATATCATTAATTATGTACTTAAACAATTTTATTGCTTACATATATGTAAACCGATACTTTATTTTTATTAATTGTTAATTAAATATTATATCATTAATTATATGCTTAAACAATTTTATTGTTTACATATATGTAAGCCGATATTTTATTTTTATTAATTGTTAATATATTATTAACATTTCAAGATTTATGCTTAAAACACAAATTAATTAAATTTCATAATTTATAATTTATTCATATATTGATTAATTAAGGGTAAAAAATAAATTTATAAGTAATGTACATTCTTGCAAATAAAGATTTATTATTATTGTTATTATTTCGTATTAGGACCATCTACGTGTGGAGGAGTTAAATAATGGAAACGGCAATGATTTCAGGACCCATTCAGAATGAATGTGTATTTTGGCTGTTGGTAGTAAGTGTTATGTCATTCACGCCAATAAATTACATTCACAACCAGACTTCGTTCACACTACCCCAGATACATGAAGGTACAAAGATGTATATACAATTAAAAATATTTTTGGCCCCGATATATTGGCGATATGTGCTTGATGTCGGGCCTCAAGGCCGAAAATAGGCCAGTTGGGTTGTCTTTTATTATGTGCTCTACAAAATAAACGCACCGCCCTTAAATTTTAATGTATTTAGGGTTTAATCATGTTTTGCATACCAAAAATAGGTTAAGTTATAAATTTAAAGAGAAAGTGTTTATTGCCTAATTATAATTTAAAAAAAAACAGAAAATTCATAAACAAATAAAAATGTAAAAGAACTTTTCGTCCCTTTTCGAATCATCTCCGATAAAGGTTTTTCTATTCTTTGACTTCTGACTAGTCTGATAAAATCAGCTGTTTCCAACTCTTCTTTGTTGTTAGGACCTGGAATTCGACGTCGTACTTGTCGCTTAAGTTGGTCCCAAATTTGTTCGATTGGGTACGTGCTTTGTGGGGCCTGACATGCAAGAATCTCTCACCGAGGTGGGGGCACTACTTCTTCGGTTATATCTTGTAAGTACCTTTGTTAAGTTAAGATCTTCCTCACAAATCAGTTCGCTGCGGGCGTCCAAGAAATGCCAATCCAGAACTTCAATGACTCACCATGGAATTCCACCTGAAGAACTATACGGAGAGTACTTTTCCCCTGAGCGTACCAAATTTTCCAATGTCTGATTCACATCCCATTTTCTGAGCTGTGGTAAGAAGACCGGGTGCCGGTCCCTGAGATTATTTTCATTGAGCCTTTTTCTTACAGTCTTGGAGGAACCAAAACACTTCTGACTAGTCTTATCAGATTTCTTATCACATTTCCCGTAATACTGCGGTTTCGTAGATCCTGATGATGGCGACTTCCCGTTGGCTCTATTCTTCTCTAATTATCCATAAATTGGCATAAAATGCCTGACTAGAACTACTGAATTAATTAAGAATAATATCAAACGAAATCACCGAAGAAACTGCTAGCACTTTTTGCGCAAATAGGATTAATCAGTACAAAAGTAAACAACGGACTTTAACGAAGCATTTACTTTTTATTTTGACTACGATAGCTCCTAATTATCTAATTAATGTAGAATATATTTAATTTTAAGCTAAATAAATTTAGTCGTGAATTAAATCTGTCCATCAGTATAATTGTGAAAAATAAAGGAAAGAAACGATATTTTTACAAAGGTTCATTCATTCTTCAGCCTTCCCACGTAATTTTTTTTCAATGTGTTCTTTCCATCAAACAGTTTATCGCAATTTAATAATCACTGTATTTTTTCTTAATTATTATTTTTGTGAGCCTTGCGTGGGCCGATCCCGCCCGCATTGATGAAATCGCAAACTTCATTAATCAATACACCTTCCAGTTCGGGTTAAACTAACTTTTCCGAACTCGAACTTGCTTTAAGTAAATTACCCGTAATTAATAAAACTACTCGGTAGGGTAATCAACAAATTTTTCGCCCGCGCCTTTACCTCGAAATTTCTCTAATTCGACGATACAATTATTGGAATTAGCATATCAATTGTTGTTTGATAAAAAAAGTGAAAAATCTTTTTTTTTCCAGCTGGACAAATCCAACGAGAGCGAAGTGAGATTGGAAAACCTCACTCTCAGAAGTAGCGGCAAGTACAGATGCGAGGTCTCGGGGGAAGCTCCAAATTTTCAGACAGTCTCTGACCACGGAGACATGATTACTGTCGGTAAGAAATTTTATATAAATTGAAATAGTTTACATATTGTGTGGTGTTTAGTGACCGTTAGTCAATGATTATTCGGAGATCGTGAGATGCGGTCTGGTGTGACGTAGGTTTCAGAAAAATATTTTCTTTATCGTGCCAACGTTTCGATCTTCATTGAGATCATCTTCAGGGCCATGGATTTATAAACGTTATTTAAATTTTACAAATATATGTAGGATGTGAAAAAATGAATTTATACAATGCTAGAAAATTTTAGATAAAAAAATTAATTTATACAATGCTAGAAAATTTTAGATTTAAAAAATTGAATTCATACAATGATAGAAAATTTTCGACTAAAAAATTGAATTTATACAATGATAGAAATTTTTAGATTAAAAAACATTGAATTTATACAATGCTAGAAAATTTTAGATTAAAAAAATGAATTTATACGATGCTATTGCAGCATTCTGTAAATTCATTTTGTTAATCTAAAATTTTCTAGCATTGTATGAATTCAATTTTTTTAATCTAAAATTTCTAGCATTGTATAAATTCATTTTTTTAATCTTAAATATTCTAGCATTGTATAAGTTCATTTTATTTATTTTTTATCTAAAATTTTCTAACATTGTATAAATTCATTTTATTTATTTTTTTTTAATCTAAATTTTTTTAGCATTGTATAAATTAATTTTGTTTTTTTAACCTAAAATTTTCTAGCATTGTATAAATTCATTTTTTTAATCTTAAATATTCTAGCATTGTATAAGTTCATTTTATTTATTTTTTTATCTAAAATTTTCTAGCATTGTATAAATTCATTTTATTTATTTTTTTTAATCTAAATTTTTTTAGCATTGTATAAATTAATTTTGTTTTTTTAACCTAAAATTTTCTAGTATTGTATAAATTCATTTTTTTAATCTAAAATTTTCTAGCATTGTATAAATTCATTTTTTTAATCTAAAATTTTCTAGCATTGTATAAATTCATTTTTTTAATATAAAATTTTCTAGCATTGTTTAAATTCATTTTATTTATTTTTTGTATTTTTTAATATAAAATTTTCTAGCATTGTATACATTCAGTTTTTTTATTCTAGAATTTTCCAGCATTGTATAAATTCAATTTTTTTATCTAAAATTTTCTAGCATTATATAAATTCATTTTTTCACATCCTACAAAATTTAAATAATAAATTTAAAATTTACACAATGTTTATAAATCCCAGGCCCTGAAGATGATCTCAATAAAGATCGAAACGTTTTTTTTTCTAAAACCTACACCAAACCAGACCGCATCTCACGTTCTTCGAATAATCATAGATTACATATTATTGTGTACAATTAAAAAAATTAAAAGATTATTTTTCTAATGGGTACAACGTGCAATATGGTGGTATGTGACAGGCTGCATGAAATATTACCTTCCAGCCGGACTGGAAAAGTTTTTCGGACAAATAATAATGCAAAATTTTTAGTGAAAAAATTAGTTTGAAAAAAGAACCCCTTGTTGAGCAACCCTGTAAGAGCACAGTAAATAGAGTAATCTTTTTAACTTTCCTTTCGAATCGAGAAAATGAAAGGCGATCATTCGATTTTTTAATCGGGACCTGGACAGTGTCGAAATAATGCTTTGTCGGAATAGAACCTTCAGGTGTAATCACTTGTCGAAGGGATTTTCCCTTTTGTTTAGTGTTAATCCGTGCCACCCTTGTGCTAAGATAATGTGTCAATTAGTTGTGTTCAGTCGTGTTAAATCTGTCGTCAACGGCCCTTTAAATATTCAAAGCGTGCTCTAATTAAGCGCTTTCCCTCCGAATTCCTTTCTTTTAATTAAAAAATAAAGTCGCATAAAGTGAGGCGCCGGGGGTTGCCGTATTTTTTTATTATTTTTTTTACACAAGCGTTTATTGCTAGGGTTAATTAACCAGGACACTAATTCTGTGATTTTGGCTGCCGTGTTTTATTGAAAACCGTTTGTCAGGTTGTTTTTTTAAATATTTTTTTTTTATAATGATGAACACAAAGGGGAGGAAAACTGTTCTGTTGAGTTTTTCTAAAACCAATTACTTGCTTGGGTATGTTTTAGCATTGGAGAAGTTCAACGGATAGCATTTCGTGATTTGCTTTCAAACCGTCAAGACGGTGATCCATTGCTGGCGAGATCGGCGTCGATGGATGAAAGGTCGATTCTGTGTAACCCACCCTGGCAGCTATGATGTGTTAAATATTAATGGATTATGAAACATTGGAAATGTGTTGTGAACTGATTCTGAGAATGAAGCTGTCAATTTCAATGGCATTATCATAAATCGACGGACTGTCGTGAGAGTGGAAAAAGCGAGCTGTATTATTGAGTAGACATTGAGGATTTTGTAGGTGCGTAGCAAACCTTGCAAACTGTCATATTTGCCTGACAGACCAACTTCATGTCAACTTTTGTTCAGCTCCTGTTAAAGTTATTCAAACAAGAATTAAGATCAAAGTTACTGATTTAATTGTTTTTTAAGCAAATAGCAAATTTATGTCTGGAATGATCATTGACTTAACTGAAAAATATCTGAAATTTTACATCAACAACCAACAAATAAGGAAAGACTTAATTTTTTACTCGACACAATATTTTGCAGAATTTAATTAGACATGCTCGTAAAATATAATACACGTTTTTCAATCTGAAAATAACATAAATACCATAAATAATATTATATTATCTAAATTAATTTTAAGATTTTTTAAAAATATTTTCTCCCTAATTCATCCTTTCTTACATACATGACGACTATTTATTTTTCCAAGTGTGTGTAATTATATTAAATGCAATTTTTTAATGAATTCGAGGAATTCAGAAATCGTATTTGACAAAGAGATGTTATAGCTTAAGGATAGTTATCACTTTATGTATTGAGAAAAATTTTGAACTTGGGGCACCTCAGGGGTCTGTACGTGGTCCTATCCTTTTGTTACGGCGCTTCCAATGACTGCTACCCACATATTGACGCTGAACCGTCATTGGAATCTATTCTATCCTACCAAACGGTTTTCGGTTGCATAGTAATGCGGTACTTCGATTTCACTGTTTACAAAAATCAACTGCAATCACAACCGCAACCGAACCAGGATCCTGGTTGGCTCGTGACAGGGCATGAGGTTCCCGCATACTCGGTCATTCTAAAAAGGGCTCTGAGGTACTTTAATGTCCGCACCTAGCCTATTCGGCCTTATCGGACGTTTTGATTCTCAAGATGAGATCTGACGCACCTCCAACTGGGACAAGAAAAACCACAAGCAAGATCCTACACTAAGGAGCGGTAGGCTGATTACTAACCTGAAGCTGGCCAGTGAGTTATAAATAACAGGGGAGCACACTAGATCTATTCAGGTGCAATAGACCTTGTGGCCGTCTTTTTTATCCCTATACTTAACCCTATGTCTATTGTGAACATTGAATATGCCTTCTCTTGTGAATGTTGATTCGTCTGTCCATAAAATTCGACGGAAGAAATGTGGTACTTAGATTTCACTGTGCGATAGCCACCGGCAAAAATCAACTGCAATCATAACCGCAGCCGAACCAGGATTCTGGTTGGACTTCTGACGGGGCATAACGTTCCCGATTACTCATCGTCAACAAGACAAGAGGATCTTTAATGTCCGCACCTAGCCTTTTCGGCTTTATCGGACGTTTTGATTCTCAAGATGAGAGCTGACGCACTTCTGCATACGACGGAATGGTGTTACCGCCGCAGCATTGGTGTAGTGGTATCCCGGCCCCTAACGGCCGGTAGCCCACGCTCTCCGCTTGTCCACTCCGAATGGTCGGGCCCGCATTTTGGGTCGGGTCGTACGCCGCACGCGAGGGGCTAACGGGCCGAAATACATCAGCCCGTCCCCCCTCGCGTACTCCCTATACAGAGAAGGCCACTCTATCTCCCTGACTATAGAGGCTCCCCTAGCGTAGAAACTTCCGAGAACGCCCCGGCAGCGGTTTTAGTTTAAAGTGGAATTGCTACCCACCCCCTAGATGAGCACTGTCTACGGTAAAAGTCTCTTATCGAGCCCTCCTGACGGGGCACTGGCACTTGAGAGAACACATGCACCGGATAGGAGTACAGACAGAAGAAACACTGTGCAGATACTGCGAAGAAAAGGAGGAGACCGCAGAACACATTTTATGTTTCTGTGAAGGTCTATGCAGGCGCAGGTTCTTGCAACTAGGACAAGAAAAACCACAAGCTAGATCCTAAACTAAGGAACCGCTGGTAAAACTGTGGTGGCTGGTTAATAACCTGAATCTGGCCAGTGAGTTATAAATAACAGGGGAGCACACTAGATCTATTCAGGTAGAGGTGCAATAGGCCTTGTGGCCGCTTCTTTTATCCCTATACTTAACCCAATGTCTGTTGAAAACATTGAATATGCCTTTTCTTGTGAGTGTTGATTCGTCTGTCCATTAAATTTGACGGAGGAAATGCGGTACTTCGATTTCACTGTGCGATAGCCACCGACAAAAATCAACTGCAATCATAACCGCAACCGAACCAGGATTCTTGTTGGACTCCTGACGGGGCAGTTGCACTTGAGAGAACACATGCACCGGATAGGAGTACATACAGAAGAAACACTGTGCAGATACTGCGAAGAAAAGGAGGAGACCGCAGAACACATTTTACGTTTCTGTGAAGGTCTATGTAGGCGCAGGTTCTTGCAACTAGGACAAGAAACACCACAAGCAAGATCCTAAACTAAGGAACCGTTGGTAAAACTGTGGTGGCTGGTTAATAACCTGAATCTGGCCAGTGGGTTATAAATAACAGAGGTGCACAATAGATCTATTCACTGTGCAATAGCCACCGACAAAAATCAACTCGCTGCTCCTCGTTTTAAACTTTACACCCTAGTAAAATGGTAATGGTACAATCCTTTCCGACGGAGGGCATCCAAAACTCTCCATTGTGAACCACCAAGTTCTTTACATAACGCACGTGTACTGGTTTCGGGATCACGATTAAC